TTTTTTTTTTTTTTTTTTTTTTTTTTTTTTTTTTTTTTGAGACCTTATTAGACTACAGTTAGAAGTGGCATTCCAGTGGACACCTGTTTTTCTTAATGAATTAAATTAGAAATTACAAATTACAAATTTAAACTTACAAGGTTTTGCCTACCAAATTCAAAATGTTGAATATGTTAAATGATATATTAGATAAAAAAAATTGAAATTTTTAAAAGATATTAGAAACATAATTAAAAATATATATTTTTATTGATGTAACAACTTAAAGTTGACTAAGAATTATGTTTTTTTTTTTTTTTAATAAAGACCAAACTCAGAGAATTTAAGAGAAAATAAGTACCATTTTCGAAAAAAGAACAAAATAAAAAAATAAAATAGTCAGACTTACCTTTCAAAATTTGGCTTGAATTTTAAAATATATTTACATATATTTATAGGCTTAACTTTCAAATACAAAAAAAAAAAAAAAAAAAAAAAAAAAAAAAAAAAAAAAAAAAAAAAAAAAAAATAATAATAATAATAAACTAAATGGTTATAAAAAATAAAGACTTTTTTTTTTAATATGAAAACAATTTAGAGAAAAAAAAATGATTTTAAGAATATGAATCATGCTAGAAAAGTTGACTACAACACAAGCAATAGAGACTAAAATAGAACAAGTTAGGATCAAAATTGTTTAAGAAAAAAAAAATACATTTGTCAGTGTCGAGACAAAACAAAACGAATGAAAAAGAAAGACTGTCAAAGACATGGTGGTGGTAGTAGCTGCCCCGACAACAAGGCGGCATTTGGCTTAGAATAATAATGTACATCGGACATCATACATCCATTGGTTGAGTCATTGTAGACGTAGATGAAATAAGTATATGGTCATATCATTACCAACATTCCTCATCTCCCTCATAATATCAATCTCCTACCACAGTCCCTGATAATGATACAATAAATGATTGAGCATTTCCATGGACCCTGTTAACGAACGCTCCCACCGCAGCCACATACTTGCTTCTCTTGCATTTATTTTCCCTTTTGAGCTGACCCCAGTTTCAAATCACACATGAAATCCATCAGAGAAAGAGAAAAACAGAGATCAAAACAGGAGATACAGCTAGTCAGAGAGACAGAGAGCAACCATGAACTTGAAGTCTCTTACTGGAATACAAAATCCCGAGACTAATTTGGACAGAGCCGAGCAGGTTCACGACCAGAGGATAGTGATTCCAAACCAATTCATCACCGGAGAAGATTGCATCAACAGGAAAGATCAAGCATGGTAGAACCTTGAGTTCATTTTAGAATCTTGATTCATGGAATAGAATAGGGCCTTCTCTCTGAATACTGTCCATTAAGTGTTTTGAATACAATCTTTTCTCTGGTTTCCCCTTTGCAGGTTTATTACCACTCAGTTCCCAACAGATTTGATAGTTCAAGTTCAAGACATCACCTTCAATGTTCACAAGGTAATTAACTATATGCAAGTAAGCTCAAACTACAATGAAATGCAGCAAAACTAGCAGACGTTCTTCTCTTTCTCAAATTGCTTCCTCGCCTAAAACTAAAATGTATTAGCTCATTCTAATTTCTAGTTGCTCAATAATAAATGAAGATGAAAGAGCTTTCTTGAAACAGTACACATTGATTTCGAAATGTGGCTACATAGGCCGAATGGAACTTCAATCCTCAACCTCCACTCAGGGTTACGACCTAAAGCTTGAAAACTTCCCAGGTGGATCAGAAACATTTGAAATGGTTATCAAATACTGTTATGGTTTCCCAGTAGACCTGAACTCGAGCAATGTAGCGTCATTAAGATGTGCATCAGAGTTTTTGGAGATGACAGAAGAATTTGAAGATGAAAATCTAATCTACAAGACGGAGTCCTTCCTCACATTTGTAGTCCTTCCATCATGGAAAGAATCACTAACTGTTCTCAGAACTTGTCAGAGTCTCTCTCCATGGGCTGAGAATCTTCAAATTGTGAGACGGTGCTGTGACTCAATAGCCCGGAAACTCTCTAGAGAGAACATAACAGGAGATACAGACTGTGAAGATGGGTGGTGGTTAAATGATTTAACAACACTTCGGATAGACTACTTCACAAGAATTATAACTGCAGTAAGGGCCAAGGGTGTAAAGCCAGAGATTATAGGTCAAAGCATTGAGCACTATGCAAGGAAGTGGGCGCCAGGCATTGGAATGGAACCAGGACTAGAAAAATATACACAGGACAAAAATGTCCTGCAAGTAAGTATTGTGAGTGGTAGGAAAGATGAACTCGGAATCGAATACAACGAGGAACACAAAGCTATTATTGAAAGCTTACTAAGCATACTACCTCCTCAAAGAGAAGCAGTTTCGTGCAAGTTCTTATTGCAGATGCTAAAGATGGCAAGGGTGTGTTGTGCATCAGCAGCTTTGATTTCGGAACTAGAGAAAAGAATAGGAATGGTGTTGGAGGATGCCAATGTGATTGATATTCTAATTCCTAACCAAACAAATAATGAACATGGAAACTTGCCAAAGTAAGTATTGTTGTTAGCAGCTCAGCACATACCAATTAGAAGTCTCCAACGCTTACCAAATTCACTAACTGTTATGTTCTTTGTTTTTTCATCCATGAATTGCTCCTCAGTACACAAGAAGAACGCACTATGCATGACATAGAAGTAGTGCAAAGGCTCCTAGAGTATTACTCACTGTTTGAACAGCAACAGCAGCAACATAGAAATGGGAACTCTAATGTGTGTAAACTCATAGACAATTACTTAGCTGAACTTGCGAGAGATCCAAACTTCTCCATCACCAAGTTTCAAACATTAGCCAAATCATTGTCAGAAAATGCAAGGCGTTGTCATGATGGATTATACAGAGCCATTGACACCTACCTCAAGGTTGCATATTGATTATCGTGTTCTTAATCATTTTGTCGTTTGAAGCAATTTATATCAGCTTGGAAGGATAGAAGAAATTTCACTTTAGAGACTTACAGACTATTCTCCTCTGCAGACCCGTCCTTTATTATCTGAGCATGATCGGAGAAGGCTATGCAAAATCATGAATTGTGAGAAACTTTCGCTTGATGCGGGTGTGCATGCTGCACAAAATGATCGACTGCCTCTAAGAACTATAGTTCAGGTGACACTATATAAGCCCTATAAATTAGTACAATCTAGTTAAAATCCCAGCAACAAATCTACATTATAGAATTTAATTAAAAGAGCAAAGAAAGATAAGAAAGTGTGAAGTTGTAATCGCATAACATATACTTACGGCTGAAGAATTAGTTGCAAATTTAATGTGCCATAAATAGAAAAAACGAGCTTTACTTGAACTTGAACTCAAACATTCAACAGATTCAAAAACCAGAACATATAGGTTGCCCATAGGATCTCGAATGGTAGACAAAAAGAAATATAGCTTATAAGAACCAACTGCCCTTATTTCTCGACAAAGGGAAAACTTTGTCAGAAATACAATATACTGCATACCAGATCTCCAAACAAGATTTAATTTATGATCATCAACGAAAAGCATCTTCACTGAGCCCCATTTCCAACTCCTCATATATTATTATTAATAACCCTCCATGCATTCTCTCGTTCCTAACACTACTAGAAAGACTTATTTATGTTCCATTGTAAGACTAATACAATTGGTATAAGAAAGAATTTATTCACTGCTTATATAATTGGCAGTCAGAACCCAAAAATTAGAGAGATATAAGAAGACTACAATATCAGATTTCTATATCTTTCCATTTTATATATTCAATAGGCCAGCGTCAAAGACCAAATTTATACAATAAACAACAATCAAACGACACACTAAAACAAATAGAATAGGACCATCTCAGTCAATAATTGGAGTCTCAGCTCTAAGAAATTCGGACGTACAAGTAGCCAGTCAATAGTTTAGAGTTCTAAGTGGTACTCACAATACTTCTGAGTGAATATGCAGGTTCTGTTTTCAGAGCAAGTGAAGATGAGGTCAGCAATGCAAGAGAAGGAGAAAGCACCTATCAGTGATAATTCAGTTGAGGATGGAAACCCTTTATCAACAGACAGAGAGATTAAAAACCTCAAGGAAGAACTTCAGAGCGTGAAGACACAGATGGCAGAGTTGCAACGTGACTACTCAGAGCTGCAACAAGAGTATGAAAAACTAAGCAACAAGCAGAAAAATGTAGCAGGTTGGGTATTTGGTTGGAAGAAGATAAAGAATTCTTTCCACATAAGAGTTGATGGAGATGAACCTGCCCAGCGTAGATCCAGCAGGCTTAGTTCTCGAGTGAGCTTAAGAGATAGATTATCAATGACCTGAAGCCTTGGAATAAGAGAATCCTCTAAAAGCTAAATAGTTCAAAGAAGTTGCTATTCCACGTTTTTAATATTGTTCACCATGCAGAATGCAGACAATGTATCCTTTCTTTAATTTTTCTTTTTCATGAGAACATCCTTTCACCAAGAACAAGAAAAGTGATAGAAATTGGATTCGTTATCTTGTAAAGTTATAAGGTAGACAAATAACAATAGCCACTAATACCCTCTGCAGCAGAGAACGAAAATTTATCAGAAAAATTACTACTACGCATTCAGCTTTTCATACAGCATGCGGTGGAATGTGTAAACTCATTATAACCACAACATTGCTCAAATATTTGATGAAGAACCCAGAACGCATTCTGGAATTATGCAAGTAGAATCTACATAATACGTGGGAACAGTACAAACACAACTCTAACTTCTTTATTGATTTAAGCGACAATACAGAAGTCCTCCAGCAGTACGTCCCATAAGAGAGCCAACAAGAATTCATTTCATAATTAGAAAATCAAACACTTATCATTAGGCTCCATTTCGTTTAGAAGAAACAAAAAATCCCCAAAACAAATCCCAATTACAAAGTAATTGGTATACATTTCTTCAAACTACCTACCGGACCTCATGCTACTCCAAGGAAACTTAGTTGATGGTTCAACAGCTTCAGCGCCGCCAATTCGTCGGCGGCCTCTATCAGCAAAACCCTTGTAAGTTTTGAGTCCCACAGCTTCCTTTTCATGCAGCCAATTCCTCTTGGCCTCTCCCTCTTCAACAATGCTGGACTTAGACTGTTTATTCATATTCCTCTTGTCCTCCTCTATAATCCGGATGGGATAGACGTCCGGAGAAATTGACAAGGGATTCCTGAGAGTAACATAGGCCTTCTTGTAATCAGGCTTTGCAATCAAAAGCCCTCCGCGCTTCTTCTTCTTACCTTCCATGTTGAGAGTTCGAACTTTATCGACCTCAAAGCCGTAGAGGCTCTCGAGAACGCGCTTGATTTCGATTTGGAAGCAGAGGGAATGGTTTTGAGAGAAATTTCAGTGATGTTGGTGAAGGAAGTTGGCATAAGAAGCTTGATTGGAAGATTTGCGAAGTGAACAACTCTTCTTCCGAGTCTGCTTCCCATGTTCTTGGCTTTCTTTGCTTATTCAGTTCTCAAGAGGAAGAATCGAAAACTGAACCCTCCAAAGTGCGAACCTCTGGGAAATGGAAACGAAAGCTTTGTGGTGCGTTCGGTAAAGAACCGGGCTGGAGCCCCGATCACTGAAGCCCATTAAAGCCCATTACATTTCCCTGTGTATATATTTATTGGAGAGATAAAAAAGAAAAAGGAAAAAGTTCGGATTTAATTATTTTAGGTTTAATCTCTAAAAATTTTTAATATATATATATATATATATATATTTTGGATTTCTATTGTCATTTTTAAAAATTATTTAATGGATGGCTAGTGTGGTTGGAATATATGTATTAATATATATTAAATTGAAGCCTAGTAAATTTTATTGAGTGAGTGAAGTTTAAATATCAAAATATTAATTTTTTTGTAATTATAACCCCTATTTTAATAATACGAAGGTAAATATTTTCCACATAAAATTATAAATTTAGGGATATGTCTTTGATAAGCGAATTAAGATAAAAATATGGGTAAAAATTTATACTAAAATATAATATAATAACATCCGAGAGAGTATAATATTTATTGAACTTCAAGCAAATTTTTTTTAAAAAATACAATAATGATAAATTTCATTAAAAATTTTGATATGCAATTTTATTTCTCACTCTACGCAATTCACCTCAATGATGTCAGGTTTTCATGAGTTAATTTGATCAACCATGTCAAGTTTTTCATTCTATTATAATATGGAATACACATCGTGAAATTGACAGAATTTTGTGAAACTATATACATATATTTTAGTAGTTTGTTAAATTTTATCCCTTATTTAGGTTTCTAAAAATCTTATTTCTTAAAGAATGAGAAAAAGAAGTCAAATATAAATCAATCAATAAACCATAATGTCTGTATTCAAACATTCATGATCAAAGAGTTATCTTTGATTTACATTTCGTTCCTATGATTGACGATATTGTTGAAAAAATTGAAGTAACATTGAATGACCTACTACACTACAACGTAAGACGTATGAATCGTTGGAATCAGCGAAAGGAGCAGGAAGAAAATGAAGGGACAAGTAGTTCCTGACCTGGCTTTGGAGTGGAAGCTATCTTCGGCTGCTTACAGCTTTGCCTTTGCTCAAATCTGAGAGTTCCTCGATCAACTTCCGCTCCTCGCTGCTCAACTTCTTTGGGATTTCAACCTGCACGCGAACTAATTGATCTCCCCTCATATTCCTCTTATTTAGGAGAGGAACTCCTTTCTTTGACATCACAAGTGTTGTATTTGGCTGTGTCCCAGCAGGGATTTTCAAATCAACCATGCCATCTACTGTTGGAACCTTAATGGTAGTACCCAATATGGCATCTATGTACGACACTTTGCAACTGTACAAGATATTCGTATCCTCTCGTTTAAGCACGGGGTCGGGTGCAACTTCAATAATAACAAAGAGATCCCCTGGAGATCCACCTCGCCTTCCTGCATTCCCTTCATTTCTAACTCTTAGACGGCTACCAGCATCAACACCTGCTGGAACTTTTAAACTTATCCGCTTTGTTCTCCGTACTCGCCCATCCCCAGAACATGTGTTGCAAGGTGTGGATATTTCCCCAGCACCACCACATGAAGAGCAAGTCATTACCTGCTGGAAGACTCCTAGAGGAGTCCTTGCAGACGAGATGACCTGCCCTTGACCACCACATGTGCTACATTTAGTTGGTGTTGTTCCAGGTTTAGCGCCAGATCCTTCACAAGTTCCGCAGCTCTCCAGTCTGCTAATCTCAATCTCCTTTTCCACACCAAAAACAGCTTCCTTGAAGTCCAACACAAGATTGTAATACTCATCTTGTCCATCAACTGCACTACTCCTCGAACCTCTGCCTCCCATGCCCATACCGCCCATACCACCCATGCCCTCGAATAAAGACTCAAAGAGATCAAAAGGATTACTGAAATCCTGAAGAAGCGTAGACAAACACAGGACTCAGGGCAAAGGAAATTTCATAAACATATTTTTCATATTACCATTAGAGAATTACTTACCCCCATGCCCATACCAGAACCTTTAAGGCCAGCCTCTCCATATCTATCATAGAGTGAGCGTTTTTCATCATCGGACAAGACCTGGAACAAGTAAATTGCTGGTGTATTAGTTATCATAGGTCGCAATTCTAAATTTTTAAATGTAAACACAAACATGAGCTACAAGACTCTTACTTCATAAGCATTACTAATTTGCTTGAATTTTTGTTCAGCCCCAGCCTCTCTGATAGAGCAGGAAAGAACTGGTTATAAAATACATATTATACAAATACACTGAACCCACTGCCGAATAAGAAAATAAAGAATAACTAAGAACTAAGATTGGACTAACAAGACTAAAGTGGATCTTGTCATGTCTATTATAATCAGTACTGTTGCATAGTCTTTTCATCCATAAAAATCAGTTGACTTACTTATTCACATCCGGATGGTAACTCCTAGCAAGCTTCCGATATGCTGAAGAACACAAAACCATGCCAATTGTGATAAGATAATATATAAAGGATGACAAAATCTAGGAGCGTTACTTAAGTAAATGCAATAAATAACAAATCAAAATATACGTTAGAAAAAGTCAGCTTCAGACTCACGTCTAGAATGTCTTGGTCCTCCAAGAACATAATCGCCTATCATTTTCTTCTACTGGGCTTAAGCACCAATATAGCACCTTCCACGGTTTGAATACATTAACTATTCTTTTTAATAGGTGGCATTCGTTCTTCCTAAAAAATTAGTTATTATTTGGAAGTACCTTATCCTTTCACCCTAACATAATCTAAGCAAAAAAAAATTTCTCTCATTGTCACAAATACAAATGCATGCGAGGCTTTGTTCAATGAGAGACAATATGTATTGTGTAGATTCCTCGAGTAGAATGCAGATAGCCATGATCCCTAGTGTAGAACATGATAAAAATTATGATAGGGTGATTATTAAGACCACATCAGTTATTAGTTGGAGTGTGAGGTCAATTTGTTAGCACGAAGGATTGTGAGGGAACTAAGCTTCTCAATCGTTTAGTAATCCTTGGTAATTGTTTCCTTTAAATATCAAACATCAAAACCAAAAAAATTGTTGAACATCCGAGTGAAAGGTAAATACCACTTTTAATTTCAGATTTACTGGCGTTTTTGGACACCCCAAGGACAGAGTAATAATCCTGCAAATTAATAAACGAGCGTTATTTTGAAAATAAATGCAGAACAAAGTCTCTTTTTATTTACGTTTTGCTTTTTTTTTTTTTTTTTTTTTTTTTTTGGGTGGGGGAGGGAGAAACAATTTTACGCACACTGTCAGCTCTAACGACAAGCAACCCGCCCCTCCGTCGATGTGAAGTTTGTGAGGATGATCTTGTGTCAAATAGAACACTCAAGGAACCCCCAGAGAAGAAGCTTGAGCTTACTGCTGCTATGTTGCTGACCCTGCTTGTGACACTAATGTCAAAAAATAAATTAATCTTGTGCATTTTTACTCAAATTATGTGGTTGTTTTTAAACGAATTATATTGTTTATTTCCGAAACAGTTTCACAAATCCTAAATCTACAAATATGAATCCAGTTCACTGCTCAAATAACACAGTGTAAGACTTGAGACATCAGAAACCAACTAGACCAGTTAAAACTCCATCACATAAGAACTTTTTTTGTTTTTATTGTTTTTTGGTAGAATCTAACCAAAATGGCTGTCTCATTTCAAATTTACTAGCCATCAGCTAGGAAGAAGAAATAGGCACACCGAGAAACCTCTCAAGTGATTTGTAGTATAGCTACAAATGGAAATTGAAAACAAAAAAATGGAGAGAAAGCATGGAAAACTTACCCATATTGGATTGGGGATATCTTATTTGTTGAAGGTCTTAGCATGCACTGAGGATGAATGCCCCATTGAGCAATTGA